AAATGGGTAAAAAAAAAAAAAAAAAAAAAAAAAAAAACAAGAGAAAGGGGTATTCCTTTCGTTTTTATGGCCTTTTAAACAGAACATTAAGTCCATTATAATGTTACACGTGTGGAATTCATGATGAACAGATTGCAACAGGAACAACGAAGGGAAGGACAAGAAAACACACGAATAAGCCGAAGGCCTTTTCGCTATTGCTTCGTCAGGACATACAAAATATATATATAGGTATGCCCTGACGAAGCAATAGCGAAAAGGCCTTCGGCATATTCGTGTGTTTTCTTGTTCTTCTCTTCGTTGTTCCTGTTGCAGTATCTACAACACAAAAAGGGAAAACACAAATGAAAGAGGAACATTTAATCTTCCTGTGCAAAAACTGTCGACATATTGTCACTTAAAAGGTCAAAATGCCAAAAAAAGACAGACATTTCTCCTCCGCATTAAGGATAAACATTAAATTTAAGCCAAGTATATTGTCACTAAAGCGTTTAATTTAAAAAAGAGAGAAACGGAGAGAGACACATTCCTGTCTCCCATTTTCGGGGTTTTCAAAACAAGAAATTTTAGTCACGTATCTTGTTAATTAAATAACGAAAATATCAACGGTTACGGAAATGGGATAATAATAATAACATACTAATTGTAGCAAATTCATCTTAAATTGCAAACAGAAAAATATGTAGTCAGTATTATAGAAAAAGCAAAGATAAATACAGATATGGTAAATTACTTAATTCTACGAAAGCCACACCTCATATTATTACATTTTATTACGATATTTTATGCTAAATATTAATCTATATTGTAGTTGGTTGATGAAAACAGAAGTATTCCTTATCATAACAATATTGATAACGGTGATGACTATACTGAAATTATCGATGTTAATCACTATGGCCGCAATAGTAATGATGGTGATAAGAATGATGATGATGATTAATGATCGTGATGGTGATGATGATGATGATGATGGTGATAAGAATGATGATGATGATTAATGATGACGTGATGATGATGATGATGATGATGATAAGATGATGATGAGTATGATGATGATGATGATAAGAATGATGATATGATTAATGATCGTGATGGTGATGATGATGATGATGATGATAATAATGATGATGATTATGATGATGATAACATGATAATGATAATGATAATGATGATGATGAGATGATGATGATGATGATGATGATGATGATGATAACACAACAGCAGTAGTAGCAACATCAACAGTAAAAAACAAGAATGATAATGATAATGATGATGATAATGATAATAATAATAGCTGTAGTAGTACTAACAATAATAACAAACCAAGCAACAATAACAATGGTAATAATAATAATAATAATAATAATAATAATAATAATAATAATAATAATAATAATAATAATAATAATAATAATAATAATAATAATAATAAATAATAATAATATAATAATAATAATAATATAATAATAATATATATAAGTAATATAAAAACAAAACAACAATAACGTAAATAACGTTAAATAACGATGTAATGATATAATAACAATAATAATATTATTGAAATAAATAACAATGATAATAAAAA